TAGGGTTTAGGGTTTAGGGTTTAGGGTTTGTCTCGCCGTTTTTTTGCCTCGTTGAACACTTCGCGTCCAGGCGGTCGGAGACTTCTCTGAGGCATTTTCCGCACTGCCAACCAAACCCTAAACCCTAAACCCTAAACCATAAACCCTAAAACCCTAAACGCTAAACCCTTTTTGAAGCTTACAATGCAAGCTAGGGTTTGTTCATTGTTCCAGGAGTCGATCTGCTGCAGGAGAGACAAAATGTGCTGCAAAAGACCCACCGCACAGCAGCACGCAGAGCCAGGGTCTAGGGTTTAGGGTTTAGGGTTTAGGGTTTAGGGTTTAGGGTTTAGGGTTTAGGGTTTAGGGTTTAGGGTTTAGGGTTTAAGGTTTGGACCTGAAGTGTTTCTTGCTGGCTTCTGTATATCTCCGCGTGTCTGTCCCTTTCTTTTGTGCTGCTGCTCTCTTTGGATTTTTCTGCTGCTGGCCTAAAAATAAATTAAAAACAAAAAATAAAACAAATTAAATAAAATAAAATTAAATAAATAAATTAAAATTGATTTGAATGAATTAAAGTCAATTAAAATAAATTAAACAAATTAAAAAACTGAAAAAGAATGTGCTGAAGAGAACCAGAAATAAAAAGGAAACAAAAAGAAAGAGACACTTGAGGCCGCTGCAAGAGAATTGAATTAAATGAATTGGAATTAATTAATTAACCAATTAATTAATTAATGAATTAATTAATGGATTAATTGATTAATAAATAAATAAATAATAAATAAATAGATAAATAGATAAATTAATTAATTAATTAATTGATTAATTAATTAATTATTTATTTAACAATATCTAGGAAACAATAAATAATAAACAATAAATGATAAATAATAAGGAAGAAATAATATGAATAAAAACAAATAATAATTAAAATGTAATAAAGACTAAAAAATAAATAATAAATGATAAATAGTAAATAATAAATAATAATAAACAATAGAAAGTATAACAAAATAATAAGTGATGAATAAGAAATAATAAATAGTGATACACAAGTAATAAATAATAAATTAATAACAATAAATAACAGATTATAGAAAATCCATGATAAAGAAAAAGTAACGAAGAGAAAATAATAAATAATAAATAATAAATAACAAATAACAAACAATAATAATAAATCATAAATCATAAATAATGAACAATAATAGTAAATAACAATTAATAAATAATAAAGAATAATAAATAATAAATAATAAATAGGAATAATAAATAATATATAATAAGTAATAAATAATGAATAATAATACTAAATAGCAAACACGAAACAATAAACAATAAACAATAAATAAAAAACAATAAATAAGAAATAATAAATGACAAACAATACTCAATAAACGATCAATAGTAAACAAATCATAAATAAGTAGTTAAAAAGATAAATGAAAATAAAAGAAATAAAAGGAATTAAAAGTGTATATTTAATAAACAATTAAAACAAACTCCTGAGCATAATAAAACAAAATACTAATAAATAATAAACAAATAGTAATCAATAAAAATAAATAGTTATAAGTAACATTTAATCAGTAATTGTAAATATTTATAAATAATAATAAATAATTAAATTAAAAATAAAAAATATAAATTGTTTTTACGGAGAGCCATTTGGGGAAGTTTCTGTTTGTGTCTCTTTGTCTCTTTTTGCTGCTGCTTCTCTGCTGCTGCTGCTGTAGCTCCTGGCCTTTTGTTCATCTTCTGCTGCTGCTGCTGCTGCTGCTGAACCCTTGCTGCTGCTGCGCTGCGGCACCAGCTGCAGCAGGGGCGGCTCCTGCAGCAGAAGCTGCTGCTGCTGTCGCTGCTGCTGCTGCTGCTGCTGCATGCGGCCGCTGGTACTGCGTCTGTTGCTGCTGCTCCTGAGTTTGCTGTTCCTGTATCTGCTGCTGCTGCGGTGGCCATAGCTGCTGCTGCTGCTGTTGCTGATTTGACTTTTTCGGCTTCGGGGTTTGAGCTTGCTGCTTCTGCTGCTGCTGGAAGACGAACCATCAGCAGCAGCAGCAGCAGCAGCAGCACCACTTGGGAATGTGTAAGAACAATCTAAGCAATCGCTTAGAGACAAAGTCTCATCTAGCTGCAGCAGCAGATTAGGCGAGGCATCTTTGTTGCTGCGGCTGCTGCTTCTGTTGCTGCCGCTGTTATTGTTGCTTTTGCTGCTACTGCTGGTGCTGCTGCTGTTGCTGCTGCTGTTACTGCTGCTGCTGCTGCGTCGGCTGCTGCTGCGGCTGCTGCTAGTGTTAGCAGCAACAGCAGCGGGATTCGGAGGAGCAGCAGCAGCAGCAGCTGCTGCTGCTGCTGCCGCTGCTTCAACAGGAACATGTGTAGCTGCTACTCTCGCAGGGGCAGCAGCAGCCTTTGCTGCTGTCGCAGTGGCACGCCCATTATTTGCATCAGCAGCAGCAGCAGCAGCAGCCGCCGCAGCAGCAGCAGCAGCATTAGCTGCTGCTGCTGCTGCTTCGGGATTGGCAAATGAATAATGCCGCTTTAAAGCAGAAGAGACTCCAGCTATGGAAAGGAGACGATTCTTTAAAGAAGCAACAGACACGCTGCGAGTCAGCAGCGAGGGGCTTGCTGCTGCTGCTGCTGCTGCTGCTGCTTTTGCCGGCGGTGTTGCTTGTGGCGAATTTGCTGCTTCTGTTATTGCTGGTGCAGCAGCTTGTTCTGCTGCTGCTGCTGCTGCTGCTTCTGGTGACACTGTCATTGCTGCTGCTGCAGGTGTCCCGCTGGGTGCCGTTGCTTCAGCTGCTGCTGCTGCTGTTGCTGTTGCTGCTGCTGCTGCATTTGCTGCTGCTTCTCCTCCAGCAGCATTTTGTTCTGAGATGAATTCATTTTTGGGTTCAGTGCGGCTCTCGGCTTCCATTTGCTCTTATTTGCTTTTTCTTTTTTATTTCTTTTTGTTTCTTTTCTATTTCCTTTTTTTTCGTTTTTATTGATTTAAATAAAAAGCCAAACTTTTGTCTAATTTACAGTTTTTTGGTTCTTTGAAGTTGCTTTTATTCTGAGTTCTTGGCTTTGCAAGGGTTTAGGGTTTAGGGTTTAGGGTTTGCGGGTGAGGGCCAGTGTCGCGCAAGTAGGCGGCTGAATAGTTGCATTTCATTTACTTTGTGGATTGTTCTTTTTTATTTCTTTTAATTTAATTTCTTTTGTTTTCTTTCTTTTGATTTAAATTTATTTTCTCCTAAAAGGGCTAAAAGCCGTTCGTCCCGCGAAGCCTGTTATGTGATGCGGTGTATGTACACCTCAGCGGCGGGCTGCGAACACCTACAGGGCGTTTTCTCATATCTTTTTTTTGAATTTTCAAATTTCAGATTTTGCTTAAGTGGTACTTTTCTGGCTGCGTCGGGAGGGAGCAAAGATTTAAAATGCAGAATTAAAAAGCCTGAAAAGGGCGTAATTGAATTTGAATTTTGTTTCCCTGCGAAAAGCTGAATTTTTCCCCACTTTTTTCCCCATTCACTTATCCCGAAGGAGCGGAAAAAGAAAAATAGGTCCCAAACTGCATGCAAAACCGAAGGCGGGGCTGATGGGGCTTTCGAGCACTGAAAAGAACTTGAAAAGAAGAGGAAGAAGCAAAAAATAAATTAATTTTGAGTAATGAATGTTTCCCGTGCACAAGCTGCTTGTACACTGCAAACACCAGCTGGCTGTACACCCCAGCCCACCCGCTGCGCCGCGTCGATTCAAACGAAAGAGATTTCATTTATTATCAATTTGATTCTTTTCTTCATTATTCTTATTTAATATATTTATTTTGCATTTTTTCGCCTTTATTTCAAGGGTAAGTTCGCGAACATCCCCCGGGGCGCCGCGAAGTTCAACGTTTCTCCCTCTCGGCGATGATCCTCCGCCGATCTTCTTCTTTTTAATCCCACTTTTTGCATTTTTCGGTCCAACTGAATATTATTTGCAAAATAAGACTTGCCGGAAGCCTCAATTTTGCATATTCTTCCTTTTTTTCTGCAGCTTTCCACCTTGGCTTTCGAAGTTCCTGCTGTGCATGTTTCAGGTCCTTTCTTCGCGTTTGGCGGCGCGTGCTTCCCCCCAGTCGAACTTGTTTGAATTTTGGACATTTTTAGTTCTTTTGGGTCCATTTGTGGATCATCAAACCCTTTTTGGCGGCCTGATCGCGTAAACCCTTTTCTAGGGTTTGGAAATGCCGGTCTCGAAGCGCGCGAAAGTGGTGCACCTCTCCAAGACGAAGAAGCGCAAGACGGGGGAGCGCGGGCGCGCAGCCAACGCGAAGAATCTTCTAATTGAAAGAGTTCGAGAAGTTGCAGAAGAAAAAGGAATTCACATTTATGTTTTGGACTTCAAAAACCAAAGAAACGCGGCCCTCAAGGCCGCCCGAGACGCCCTCAAACCCGGCAGGTGCCAAACCCTAAACCCTCAAAATCCCTAAACCCTCGAAACCCTCGAAACCCCAAACCTGCAGTGGCCCTAGAACCCGCAAAACCCTTAGGCCTGCAAACCCTAAGTCGCCAAAACGCCAAACCCTCAGGAGCTCTACACACTGCTAAACCCTAAACCCAAACCCAAACCCTAAACCCTCCAAAATCCTAAACCCCACTTCAAACCCGCAAGCGGGGCCTGCGAAGTCCTAAACCCTACTTGGCTCTGCCTGACCTGTTGAGTCCCCAAACCCTAATGAGCTCTAAACCCTAGTAAACCCTTGAAGCTAATAAACCCTAAACCCTAATGATAAACCCTAAACCCTAGTAAACCGTCAACCCTGCTGAGCCCTAAATCCTAAGCAGGGCTATCTTCTTTGCGTCTTCCCCTTTTTGCTTCCTCATCTTCGACTGTTGCTGCTGCTGCTGCTGCTGCTGCAGCTGCAGCTGCAGCAACCACATGGCTAAATATTTGTTGAAAGTGCATTCATATATTCTTGGAAATTTTGAATTTCAAATTTTTGGAAAAGATTTATTTTTAAAAGTGCCGACTTGAGGTGTCTGTACATATGGCCTGCTGCCTGCTCACTGCCCACACCTGCCTGCACGCCGGAGCGCCCAAATTAGGGTTTAGGGTTTAGGGTTTAGGGTTTAGGGTTTAGGGTTTGTGGGCAGGTTGTTTTTCGGGAAGAACAAGGTGCTGCAGGTGGCTCTGGGGACTCAGCCGTCGACGGAGTGCGCGTTGAATGTTTTTAAAATCAGCAAAATGCTGAAGGGAGAAAGAGGTTTATTGTTTTCGAAAAAAGAAATAAAAGAAGTTCAACAAACCCTAAATCAGGTTTCTGCAGACGAGTTCGCCAGGGCCGGCTTCACAGCCACCAGGACCGTCACGCTCCAGGTGTACATACACCCCAGACAACGGCCCCACGAGCTCCGAATAAACAAACTAACAAACAAACAAATAAATAAGTAAATAAATAATAAACTAATAATAAATAAATAATTAGTGATAAATAAATGGTCTTGCAGTGGCTTCAATGCCGAGCAGATGTTGAAAAGAAGTTTTGGAATTTCTGTTCGCCGGGGTAATGCGTTCGAGTGTATGTACACCTCAAGTTCATGTTGCATGTTCAAGTGTATGGACGCATGCAGACTAAACTGTGTTTATTTATACGTTCATATATATGTATATGCATGCATTTTTAGGCCTGTTCTTGCAAATAGAGATATATATTTATATTTACATATGTGGATTTATTTACTTTCATTTACACTCATTTTTGTCCATTTTTATTTGCCGAAAAAGAAAGACTTCGATGCCCACGGGGAGTACGTACAGCGTGTGCTGGGGTGTATTTGCTGTTGCGTTTGGAATTCTTTTGGCATTTTGACTCATTTGGTCCATTTAATTTATTATTTTGAGTAAATTAAAATGATTTTTTTAAATATTTTTGTTTTTTTTGTTTTTTTCGAAAAAAGAAACAAAAAGAGTCTTTTCGTCGGCGCGCTTGTTGAAAGTTGAATTTTTTCGTTTTCACTCGAATTATGAGTTCGTTTGAAACGTTTTCTTCGAATTAAGTCAATTGTTCCAGTTTAAATCCTTTATTTCCGTTTCATTGATCAATTAATTCAATTTAAATTCAATCAATCCAACTTAAATTCAATTAATTGTTCAATTTTGAATCCACTTCTTTCTTCCTTCGCAGGCGGGCTTCGAAGCCCTAGAGAAGTTCCCCCACTCTATGGAGCCCCGCCTGCGGTCTTTGGGGCTTCCCACGCAGCTGCAAGTGGGTGAAAAGTGGCAAATAAGTGGCAAATAAATGCCAAATAAATGGCAAATAAATGGCAATTAAATGAATAATAGTGTAAATAATTTGAAATAATAATAATATTTAATTAATTGCGTTTATTTCTCTGTCATCTTTTTCTTTTGTTTTTTCTATTTTGCATTTCTTGGAATATCTGCAGCGCGAGAATCGCCCAGGCTTTGCTGCATGTTTTGTTTCTTTTATTTTGTTTTTAATTTATTTAAATTGAATTAAATTAAATAAATATCAAAAGATAAATAAATCCAAAAAGATAAATAAATCCAAAAGGGATGTTCTCTGAAAATTGCTGTAGGAGCATTTAATGCAACCTCCCAATAAGTTGCAGCTGCGCTCGAATCCTCAAACCCTGAACCCTCAACAAACCCCCAAACCCTCACACGCTGCTGCTGCTGCTGCCGCTGTTGCTGTTGCTGCTGCTGTTGCTGCTGCTGCTGCTGCAGAATGGGAGAATTAATCTGCTGGGGAACTACACGGTGTGCACTGAGGGAACTCCAATCACGGCTGAGCAGGCGCAGCTCTTGGTAAGTGTTTAGCTGGCGAGGGTTTAGGGTTTAGGGTTTAGAGGAACTCAAGAGGATAGTAAGGGTGTTCAAATTAGGGTTTCTTCGCGGGGCTAGGGTTGGGAATTCAGAGGGAGCGAAGGGTTTGGCGTTTGTGCGAGGGTTTTGGGTGTAGGCCCCCGCTAGGGTCTAGGGTTTCGTAAGGGTTTAGGGTTTAGGGGTTCGCGAGGGTTTAGGGTTTGTCTGGGCTTCGCAGAAACACCTGGACGTCAAAATGGCGCGGTTTTGTCTTTCGGTTGTTGCCCATTGGCACGAAGGAGCTGTTGAAGAATTCTGATTTATGAGGGTTTAGGGTTTTGGCGAGGGTTTAGGGTTTTGGCAAGGGTTTAGGGTTTGGGTGGGGCTCAGGGTTCGGGCGAGGGTTTAGGATTTGAGTGAGGGTTTTGCGCCCAGCTCGCTGAACCCAACCACTATTTTGTGAAGGACTTTCTAGGGTTTAGCCCCTTTCTAGGGTTTAGGGTTTAGGGTTTGCAACCCTAAACCCTAAACTCTACACTAGTCCTTCGTTGCAGGCGCTAGAGCTTCCTAGGAGCCCTAAACCCTAAACCCTAAATTGTGCAGCAATTGAGGCAGGGAAAATAAACAACCCCCCGACCCCAAGCATTGAGGGTTTAGGGTTTAGGGTTTGAGGTTTTTCTCTCTAGAGCGGGGAAAGCCTTACAAAAGGAAAGAAAACTAGCAGCATAGGCCAGGCCCTCACCTAGGGCTTAGGGTTTAGGAATTAGGGTTTAAGGTTTCGGAGCTAGGGTTTAGGGTTTGCGCGGCGGCTTCGTCTCGAGCTCTTTTGCTCCTGGCTGCAGGCCCGTCCCCCGCTGCTGC